AAATTGTGAGCCCTAGTGATACTGGAGACGACTCCCCAAAATCTATACGAAAATGTGGCCCCTTAAAGTTCCCCAGAAACATCTGGGGTGCCACATATGCTACTGGAATTTGGGGTGCCATATGATATCACCATATGCTTATTAATAAATCCCCAATATTAAATAAGCCCGAGAGGGTTCTTGCCTAACATTTAGAGAAGAATTCTAAATATCAGCATTAATACATTAATAAATGAGGCAGTATGGTACATATTAGGCTTTGATTTAGTGAGAAAGATGCATAGGAGAGTGAGAGCTTTATTTAAGAGAGAGAAATCTGGGTTCATACTGAGCACCAGGAACCAGCCACATGGAGGAGCATCTAGGCCAGGAAGCCTAGGGCGGGTGGCCCCCGAAGACCATGCACCCTGGAGGCGCAGGGCTACAGGAAGCCCCCTTCCTGGCAAGTGGTCAGGGCCTAAGAGAATGGTCAGACACACCGTGTCCCAGGCTTTTAACCCACTTCCAAAGGGGAGCTGTTAATTAACCTGATTGGCTGGTGGGCACCCAGGTGTGGGCAGGTAGGGCGTGAGGTCACACAGGGGTGTGGCGAAGGTGTCAGAGCATGAGGTCACACAAGGGTGTGGTGAAGGCATGGTCTTCCAGCTCACAAACCTAATCAATTTTAACCTGTATGCCTGCCTACTTCACTAGTGGACAGAATACTATAAAAAGCTGTGTAACCCGCTGTTGGGGGCCGCACTCTGGTATGAAGTGTTGGTCCTGATCGGTGGCCGGTCCCAATAGGTTACGTTGCCTCTCATCTGTCTCTCATTTGCTTCTCATTTTCAATAAAATTCATGTGTGACTATCACTGGTTTTTGTAATACTCTATTTTAGCTGATGAGTAAATGCAACAATATGATGGAAACATAATTAATAATTTCACTGAACTTTTTTTTATTGTTTTTTATTTTTTGACAGGCAGAGTGGACAGTGAGAGAGAGAGAGACAGAGAGAAAGGTCTTCCTTTTCCATTTGTTCACTCCGCTAATGGGCGCTACAGCTGGCACGCTGCACCGATCCGAAGCCAGGAGCCAGGTGCTTCCTCCTGGTCTCCCATGCGGGTGCAGGGCCCAAGCACCTGGGCCATCCTCCACTGCACTCCCTGGCCACAGCAGAGAGCTGGCCTGGAAGAGGGGCAACCGGGACAGAATCCGGCGCCCCGACCGGGACTAGAACCCAGTGTGCCTGCGCCGCTAGGTGGAGGATTAGCCTAGTGAGCTGCGGCGCCGGCCTGAACTTTTTTTTGCGCAGTAGACTATAAATCAGGAACAAGTTTTTAGGAATTTTTAAAAAACCAATATTTACAATTCATAACTCAGGGAAATCTTAAATATTCTTTCCCTTCAACTTCTGAACATGGCTATCTGCCGATAGCTCATTTCTGCAAGGTGTCTGGCGCGTAACAAATCTTCCCAGGCAGATGAATCAATTAATTTACAAGCTTTTATTGAAATTCCACTCCCGGGTGAGGTTCATGGGTCCCAACAGAGTGAGGGCTGGGGAAGTCGCACGGCAGAGGTTGGCAGGGCTCCTTTTATAGATACAGGGTATGGGGGGTTAAAGGTTGAAGGGGGTCTGATCCTCACTGGTTGACCTTTAGGCACCCACGGAGACCTTGACAAGGAATTTTTGTTCCCGGAGTGCGGGTAAGGACTCTCCATTCCCGGAAGTGTGGGCCTTCTCTTCTTGCGGATCCCAAAGCTAACAATTCTACAAGCTTTAAAAAACTTAAGTCACAGATCACCAACTATCAACAGTCGTTTTATTGAAGGTATTCAATAAAAGTCTGTTGTTTAGATGGAACAAATGTGATGGGATGGTTCATTTTTATCTAAATTTTCTCCTCTTTTATTCTCTCTATATTTTTAATCATGTCTCAGTCAGGCCGGCGCCGCGGCTCACTAGGCTAATCCTCCGACTTGCGGTGCCGGCACCCCGGGTTCTAGTCCCGGTCGGGGTGCCGGATTCTGTCCCGGTTGCCCCTTTTCCAGACCAGCTCCCTGCTGTGGCCAGGGAGTGCAGTGGAGGATGGCCCAAGTACTTGGGCCCTGCACCCCATGGGAGACCAGAAGTACCTGGCTCCTGCCATCGGCGCCACGGCTCACTAGGCTAATCCTCCGCCTAGCGGCACCAGCATACCGGGTTCTAGTCCTGGTCGGGGCGCCGGATTCTGTCCCGGTTGCCATCAGATCAGCGCGGTGCGCCGGCCGCGGCAGCCATTGGAGGGTGAACCAACGGCAAAGGAAGACCTTTCTCTCTGTCTCTCTCTCTCACTGTCCACTCTGCCTGTCAAAAAAAAAAAAAAAAAAAAATCATGTCTCAAAGATGACTTCCCATAAATGTGTTATACTTTTAATTATTTCCTCTGTGGATTTTGAAGTTGCCAAGTTGACATTGCTTTTATTTTCCTAATATGTGAAAAATTACCAAACAGAAAACAAGGCTATTAAAGGATTCATGTGTGGGGAGCAGGGCCCATCTTCCATAACATGGCAGGGCCCGTCATCCGGGAGACAAATAAGTATTAAGACTGTGGACAAATAAATACTGAGGACAAATACTGAGATTACCGAGACTAGACTAAACTACTGGAACTGCTAAGACTAACTCTATGCATCTGATCTCCCACCATATGGCGCTGAGAGGGAGTAAACAACTTCCACACAGCTGCCTCACCAATTCGACTAACAAGCTGCAGGAGCTGATCCTGCCCCTGATTGGAGGAGAGCAGCATGCTCAGCCCATGGGGAGAGAACGCCAGCAGAGTTGGGATTGGTGGAAGAGGACTCTAAAGGAGGAGAGAGACACCACGCAGGAGGAACATCTGAGGAACCCGAGAGAGCCGGCCGGCGGTGTGCCGCTCCTCCACGGAAGTGGGGGAAGTGGCGGGGGTGCTGCCCCTCTGTGGAGGCGGGGGGGGGGGGCGGCAGCTAATCCGGGGAGGACCGGGGAAAGAGACAACAGCAAATCCATTGCCACTCCTCCGGGAGCCTGCAGAGAGAGCGACATTCATGGAGTAAATGGAATTAAATAACATTAGTTTCTTTTTTTTTTAAGATTTTTATTTATTTATTTGAAAGTTGGAGTTACAGACAGTGAGAAGGAGAGACAGAGACAGAGGTCTTCCATCCGCTGGTTCACTCCCCAAATGGCTGCAATGGCTGGAGCTGCACTGATCTGAAGCCAGGAGCCAGGAGCTTCCTCCGGTCTCCCATATGGCTGCAGGGGCCCAAGGACTTAGGCCATCTTCCACTGCTTTCCCAGGCCATAGCAGAGAGCTGGATTGGAAGAGGAGCAGCCGGGACTCGAACCGGTGCCCATATGGGATGCAGGCGCCGCAGGTAGAGGATTAACCTACTGTGCCACATCGCTGGCCCCAGCATTAGTTTCTAAAGATTATCTTATTTGCTGTTATGAATATAATTGTACCAAACAATTGTATAGTAATTTGAATTGTGATATAATTCAACTTTTATTGTTTTGCTCTGTGATAGCATGTCTACCTTATATACATTTGTGTGCTCAAAAAGGATGTAATGCTCTTTCTAAAGTTATATAGATAAGACATTGCTATTATTAGTATCACCATTATATTTTAACTAATAGATGATTCTTGTTATTACATAGAATACCTTAAGTAATCTGCAATAATTATTGTAACATTTTACTTTGCAATTCATACCTACTTCAATTAACTGTTAGAGTTTCAACATATAAATAACATCATAATATCTTATACTCCAAATTAAATTTGAAATAGAATAGGGACATTTGAAAGTAGTCATTCAAGGGCAGGTTTGTGCAGGGGTTAAGATGCCACATGGGACACCCAAATCCCACATCGCCAGGTTGCCTGGGTTTTGTTTTTAAACATTCTTTTTTATTTTTTATTTTTCTGACAGGCAGAGTTAGTGAGAGAGAGAGACAAAGAGAAAGGTCTTCCTTCCGTTGATTCACTCCCCAAATGGCCACCACAGCTGGCGCTGTGCTGATCCAAAGCTAGGAGCCAGGTGCTTCCTCCTGGTCTCCCATGTGGGTGCAGGGTCCCAAGCACTTGGGCCATCCTCCACTGCCTTCCTGGGCCACAGCAAAGAGCTGGACTGGAAGAGGATCAATCGGGACAGAATCTGGCACCCATATGGGATGCTGCCGCCAAAGGTGGAAGATTAACCAAGAGAGCCACGGTGCTAGCCCCTTTAAACATTCTTTTTTAAAAAATGTTAATTTTATTTACTTGCAAGGCACAATTACAGAGAGAGAGAGAGAGAGACATTGTTCCATCTGTTGGTTCACTCCCAGATGACAGCAATGTGGCAGCACTCACACACAATGCAGGTGTCACGGCAGCAGCTTAACCTGCTGCAAGGAAAGTCCAGCCCCAGAGTGCTTGTGTGAGTTCTGGCTCTGTTTCTGATTCCAGTGTCCTGCTAATGCACACCCAGAAAAGCAGCACGTGATGTCTCAAGTAATTGGGTGCCTGCACCCTTGTGGGAGACCCAGATTATGTTCCTGGCTCCTGGCTTTGGCTGGCCCAGCCCCAGATGTTGCAGGCATTCAGGGATGAGCCTATGGATGGAGTATCTTTGTCTGTCTGCCTCTCTCTCTCTTCCTTTCAAATACTTTTTTTTTTAAATAACACTAACTTGATATTCAAATACTAATAATGAATATGAGTGACACACACACACTCATACACACATATATATAGTACTAAAGACTGTTGCACTGATCAGATATGCTGTGATCTACGTAATTATCTTGTAATTATTAATGTACAGATTTCAGGATAACAACAATAGTGTTGAGTGAGCACCCAGCTATTCTGCCTTGCCACGGCAAAAGCTGAGAAGCAGAACTTGGCCAAACACTGTACCTAAAGCCAAATGTCAGCGTATCCTTGGTACATGTGTGTTTTAGTCATCTTTTCATTACTATAACAAATAGCTGAAGCAAACTAAGTTTATAAAGAAATTTATTTTGGCTCACAGTTCTAAAGGCTCATAGTAAAAGTACAAGAAAGTACATGCAGAGCTTGCACTGTGGCATAGTAGGTGAAGCCGCCACCTGCAGTGCCGGCATCCCATGTGGGTGCTGGTTCGAGACCCGGCTGCTCTACGTCCGATCTAGCTCTCTGCTGTGGCCTGGGGAAGCAGTAGAAGATGGCCCAAGTCCTTGGGCCCCTGCACTCGGGTGGGAGACCTGGAAGAGGCTCTTGGCTCCTGGCTTCAGATCATCGCAGCTCCAGCAGTTGCGGCCATCTGGGGAGTGAACCCGTAGATGCAAGATCTCTGTCTGTAACTCTGCCTTTCAAATAAATAAATACATTTAAAAAAAAATAAATTCTTCCCTAAGATTGAGAAAAGGCAGGGATGACCATTCTTTATCAAGCTACAGTAATTAAGATTGTGTGGTATGGGCGAAAGGATAGACACATAGATGAATGAAACAAATTGAGTCCAAAATTAAACCCATACAAATTTGTACAATTGAGTTTTTACAAAGGTGTAAAATCAATTCAATGGAAAAAATAATCTTTTCAATAAATTATATTTTAAATATTGGACTTTCCATATGCCAAACAATAAAAGTGAACTTCAACCCAAGCCTCTCACATCTTACACATGGTAAATAAAAATAGATCATAGATAGAAACTAAAACATGAAACCATGATACTTGTAGAAGGAAATGAATCTTCATGTCCTGAGCATGTGTTGTTGGACATGACACCACAAGCACAACTCACAAAAAGAAATAAATTATAAAAAGCACTTCATCATTATCTGAAAAAAGACACTATTAAAAAGAGAAAGAAAACACAAGCTACAGACCTATAGGAAATATTTGCAAATTATATATGACAAAGGACTTGTACCCAGAATATAGTAAGAGCTCTCAAAACTCACCAGAAAGAAAATTTAAAAGTAGGTAAAGGACAAGAACTAACACTTCACCGAGGGGTAGCAATTTAGCTCATGGGATTTTTAATATCATTGACCATCAGGGAAATGCAAATGATTTTGAGACACCACTACAAATTTATCATAATGTCTAAAATTTATAAAACACAGGGCCGGCATTGTGGTTCAGTGAGGGTAAGTCACTGCTTGTGATACCAGCAGACCATACTGGAGTGGTGGTGTCAGTGCTGGCTGTTCTGCTTCTGATCCAGCTCCCTGTTAATGTGCCTGAGAACGCAGGGGAAGATGGCCCAAGTGCACGGACCCCTGTCACCCATGCAGGACACCAGGATGGAGTTCCTGGCTCCTGGTTTCAGCCTGGCCCAGCCCTAGCTGCTGTGGCCATTTGAGAGTGTGAACCAGTGGAAGGAAAAAAAAATCTCTCTCGCATTCTGCCTTTCAAGTGAATAAAAACACTGGCAATACCAAGGGATGACAGGGTGTAGAGCTACTAGAATTCTCATATACCCAAGGGGGGAATCCATAATGAATGGTACCGTCACTCTTTGAAACAGCCCGCCGGTTTCTTGTGAAGTTAAACATTTATCATGTGATTCCCCAGTCCCACTCATGGGTGTCTACTCTCAAGAGTTGAGATTTATGTTCACACGAAAAGCTCTACACAAATGTTTCTATCACCTCTATTCACAATAGCTACAACACAGCCTTCAATAAGTATATGAGTAAACACACTTCAGACATCCATTCTGTGGAATACTATTCAGCATCCAAAATAAATGGGGTGCGCGTTTAGCCTAGTGGTTAAAATGCCAGGTAACAGCCCCTGTCCTATATCGGAATACCCGGGTTTGATACCCACCTCCGACTCCTGTCTCCAGCTTCCAGCCAGTGCGCTGGGAGGCAGCAGGGATGGTTCCAGTGCGCTGGGAGGCAGCAGGGATGGTTCAAGTAATTGGGTCCTGCCATCCACCTGGGAGACCTGGATTGAGTTCCCTGTTCCCAGGGACGGCATCGTGGCATAGTGGGTAAGGCCACTGTCTGCAATGCCAGCATTCCTGATGGGCATGGGGTCACGTCCCAGCTGGTACACTTCTGATCCAGCTCTCTGCTAATGGCCTGGGGCTGAGGCAGCAAAAGATGACCCAAGTGCTTCAGCCCCTGCCACCCACCTGGGAGATGGGGAAGAAGCTCCTGGCTCCTGGCTTCAGCCTGGCCCAGCCCTGGCTATTGAGGCCATTTGGGGAATGAACCAGCAGATGGAAAATCCATCTCTCTCTCTTTCTCTCTCTCCTGCCCCCTCTCTTTCAAATAAATCAGTAAATCTCTCCCAGTTTCCTGCTTCAGCTCTAGTCCAGCCTCTGTTGTAGGCATTTGGTGAGTAAACCACATGATGGGTGCTCTCTCCCTCTCTCTCTGCCTGTCAAATAAATACAAATTTTTAAACAAGTAAATAAACTATTGTCACACTCAACAATGAAGAGGAATCACAAAAGCATGATATTTTGAGAAGTCTGATAAGAAAATTGACAGACTGTATGATTCTATTTATGTGACATTTTTGAAAAATAAAAACTATAGTGACAGAAACAAATCATTCTTTTCTAGGGGTTACAGAGGTGGAAAGGGAGGTGGATAAAAAAGAAAAGGGACATTTTGGGACAGAGATGAAATCTTCAATAGCCTGATTGCATCTGTTACACATACGTATTCATGTACTAAAATTCCTAGTGCTACGCACCAAAAACAGGTCAATCTTACTGTATCATTTTTTAAAGTGAAACACTATAAACAGCAAGGTACATGTGCACAGTTCCATACCAAGCTATTTCTCTATTCCATACCAAACGGAGGTGTGTGCACACACTCCAACATACACACCTCATTTTATTACTGTTTTATTTCTACTCTAGGTGCCCTCCCTCGAGCTACACAATTTTCCTTTAGGTTACTACAGCCCAATGCCTAAAATATGACTGGGATGGCTTCCGAGGTGGGTTTCCTGGGGACAACTGCCCCCCGCCTCTCCCTCTCTCATCTTTTTCTGTCTCGCTCTCCCTGGTACCTCCTCCCTGGGCCCCTCCCTCTCTCTCCCCGTTTCTGACATTCTGTGTCGTGTTCTGCACCTCTTTGTCCCGCTGTCTCCCCATAAACTGCCCGTGTTCCCCTTGTCCCCTGGGCCAGCCTCAGGCGCCTGCAGGTGCACCCGGGGGCCCACACAGGCCCACCTGCGCCCCGGTGATGCCCCTTTACCGTCCGGCCCCTTTTCCCGCTCATTCCTGGGCTCACCTTACTGATGCACCCTTCCTTGCCCCGCACCTTTGGCTCGGGGTCCGCTTTGAGGAGGAACCAAACCCTCCCTCCCTCCCTCTTGCTCTCTCAGTCCGTTTCTGGGAAGAGCGCGTCTCCCTGCCTCCGTCACTTCCCTCTCCATCTCCACCTCTCTCTCCGGTTCTCCGGCTGTCTGCCGCCCCTGGCCGCTCCGGGCAGTCCGAGGGTCCGTCCGGGACAGGCAGGCTGAGGCCGCCGCCCCTTCAGGCTGCACCAGCGCCCCCGGCCAGCGCCTGCTCCTCCCGCCCGCAGGGGGCGCTGTGGCTCGGCGCGGTCGCGGTTCCGGGCCAGCGCGTCCCAGCACGCACCGCGCCCGGGCTGGCGCTTGGCTTGCGGGTGACTGAGGTTCTGCCTGAGGGTCGGGGCCGAGCCGGAGTCTCCTCGCAGTGGGTCCGATTGCTGCGGAGCCGCGATGGCCGAGCCGGCCTCGGTAAGAGAGGCCGGTGGGCGAGGCTGTGGTCCCTGTCGCGGCCGGAGTGGGTCCCGTTTCGCCTCCAGCGGTGCGAGCCCGGGGCTGGGGGCGGGGCGGCCGTCCGCAGCCGAGCGCCGAGCGCCGAGCGCCGAGCGCCGAGCGCCGAGCGCCGAGCGCCGAGCGCCGAGCGCCGAGCGCCGAGCGCCGAGCGCCGAGCGCCGAGCGCCGAGCGCCGAGCGCCGAGCGCCGAGCGCCGAGCGCCGAGCGCCGAGCGCCGAGCGCCGAGCGCCGAGCGCCGAGCGCCGAGCGCCGAGCGCCGAGCGCCGAGCGCCGAGCGCCGAGCGCCGAGCGCCGAGCGCCGAGCGCCGAGCGCCGAGCGCCGAGCGCCGAGCGCCGAGCGCCGAGCGCCGAGCGCCGAGCCGGCAGTGGAGAAGGCGCGGTTCCGCAGCGTTCGCTGTCCGGCGAGGCCGAGCGCGGCTGCGGTGTCTGCGCTGCGGTCCGTCGGCTCCCCGCGCGCGCCTGTGTGGGCTCTGCCACCGAGAAAGCTAGCGGCAGTGCCGCAGACCGCTTCCTCCAGAACACACGAGAGCAGTTGGAGCGGTCCTCCTACGGGGCACTTACCGCGTAACGGAACATCGGAGCCCTGGTTTAGGGTTCAGGAGGCACATCCTGGGGCTGAATCCAGGAAACTCTTAGTTCAGTTGACTGGAACCTGCTTAAGTAGGCCAGTGTGCCTTGTGCCCTCACCAGGGTTCCTTCTTTATGCTCCCCTTTCCCAGCCTGTCCTGGCCAGTACGGATTCTGTGCGGACTTTCCTAAGCCCTCTCTGTGGTGTGAGAGTTGGCGGTTTGTGGTAGTTCTTTGGTTATAACTTTGAGTCCATAGAAAATGTGACGACAGCTTCTTGGTTCCTGTTTTATTTGGAATAGGCAAAAAGAAATCATTTTCTCCATTTTAAAAAGAGCAGTTCACTGGTAATGGTGAATATCTTCACAATGAGCCTCTTGTAGGTGACAAACACGGGAGTGAGCTACGAAAACAGGTGGAGTGGGCCCAGCTGGTTAAGCCACCAACTGTGAGGCCGCTGTCCCATATTAGTGACTGTTTGTGCCCAGGCTGCTCCACTTCTGAGCCAGCTCCCTGCTAATGCGCCCGGGAAAGCAGCGGAAGATGGCCCAAGTGCTTGGGCCCCTGTACCCATGTGGGAGACCTGGGGGCCTGGCCCAGCCCTGTCCATTGCAGCCATCTGAGGAATGAACCAGCAGATAGAAGATCCTTTGTCTTTTCCTGTCTGTGACTATGCCCTTTTTTTTCTTTAGAATTTATTTATTTATTTGAAAGGCAGAGTTACCGAGAAGCAGACGCAGAGAGAGAGAGAGAGGTCTTCCATTCATTCACAGCTTCTCTCCCCAAATGGCTACAACAGCCAGAACAGGGTTGATCCGAAGCCAGGAGCCAGGAGTTTCTTCCAGGCCTCCCACATGGGTCCTGGGGCTCAAGCATTTGGGCCACCTTCTCCTTTCCCAGGCCATAGCAAAGAGCTGGATCGGAAGTGGAGCAGCTGGGACTCGAACTGGTGCCCATATGGGATGCCAGTACTGCACATGGCAGCTTTACCCTCTTCCACACAGCACATCCCCCAGCTGTGCCTTTCAAGGAAATAAAAATAAATCTTTTTTTGAAAGGGACAGTTACAGAGAGAGAATCTTCCATTCGCTGGTTCATTCCTGAGATGACAACAATGGGTAAGGCTGGGTTATATGGAAGCCAGGAGCTTCTTCTGGGTCTCCCACGTGGGTATGGGGGCCCAAAGACTAGGGCCATCTTCCACTTATTTCCCAGGCCATTAGCAGGGATTTGGATAGGAAGTGGAGCAGCTGGGACACGAACTGGTACCCCTATGGAATGCCAGCATTGCAGGCAGTGGCCTGTGACACAGTACCAGCCCCTAAAATAATTTTTAAGACTTATTTATTTGAAAGGCAGAGTTACGGAGAGGCAGAAGCAAAAAGAGAGAGGTTTCCATCCACTGGTTCACTTCTCAAATTGCTGCAACTGCTGGAGCTGGGCCGATCCGAAGCCAGGAGCCAGGAGCTTCTTCCAGGTTTCCCACATGGGTACAGGGGCCCAAGGACTTGGGCCATTTTCCCAGGCCATAGCAGAGAGCTGGATCAGAAGTGGAGCAGCCGGGACTTGAACCAGCTGGTGCCCATATGGGATGCTGGTACTGCAGGTGGTGGCTTTACCTGCTACACCATAGCACCGGCCCCTAAAATAAAACTTAAGCAATCAAAAAGCTATAGAGGAATTTCTTTGAAGTTTTATAAAAATAATACTGTTTTTTATTAACAACTCATACTTCAGCTTTTGAGACCTATAATAATGTTGATGGAATTTCATCTCTGCAACTTTTTTTTTTTTTTTTTGACAGAGTAAGAGAGAGAGAGAGAGAGAAAGGTCTTCCTTCCATTGATTCACCCCCCCAAATGGCCACCACGGCCAGAGCTATGCCAATTTGAAGCCAGGAGCCAGGTGCTTCCTCCTGGTCTCCCATACGGGTGCAGGGCCCAAGGACTTGGGCCATCCTCTACTGCACTCCCGGGCCACAGCAAAGAGCTAGACTGGAAGAGGAGCAACTGGGACTAGAACTGGTGCCCATATGGGATGCTGGCTCCGCAGGTGGAGGATTAACAAAGTGAGCCACGGTGCGGGCCCCGCAACTTGTTTTTTTTGTTGTTGTTTTTGTTTTTGTTTTGTTTTGTTTTGTTTTGTTTTTGACAGGCAGAGTGGATAGTGAGAGAGAGAGACATAGAGAAAGGTCTTCCTTTTGCCGTTGGTTCACCCTCCAATGGCCGCCATGGCTGGCGCGCTGCGGCCAGCGCACCGCGCTTATCTGAAGCCAGGAGCCAGGTGCTTCTCCTGGTCTCCCATGTGGGTGCAGGGCCCAAGCACTTGGGCCATCCTCCACTGCCTTCCCGGGCCACAGCAGAGAGCTGGACTGGAAGAAGAGCAACCGGGACAGAATCCGGCTACCCGACTGGGGCTAGAACCTGGTGTGCTGGCGCCGCTAGGTGGAGGATTAGCCTATTGAGCCGCTGTGCCGGCCGCAACTTGTTTTTAATATTGGGAGAGGGATGATTCACTTTTAGTTTTTATTTATTGAAAGGCAGAGTTACAGAGAGGGAGAAAGGGAGATAGATTCCATCTGTTGGTTCCCTCCCAAAGGGCCACAGCAGCCAGGGCTGGGCCAGGCAGAAGCCGGGAGCTTCTTCTGGGTCTTCCACGTGGGTGCAGAGGCCCAAGCACTGGGCCATCTTTCACTGCTTTCCCAGGTGCTTTAGCAGGGAGCTAGATCAGAAAGTGGAACAACAGGGTCTTGGGCCAGCGCCTATGTCGGATGCCAGCATCAGCAGGCAGTGTCTTTACCCACTATGCCACAATGCCAGCCCCATGAAAGGGACAGTTTCAATTAGGTTTTACTCTTCCATTAAAAATAATTATTTATTTATTTGAAGGGCAGAATGAGAGAGAGAGAGAACTTTCATCTGCTAGATCATTTCCCAAATGGCTGTAACAGCCAGGGGCTTGACCAAACCAAATCCAGGAACCAAGAACTCTGAGCCTCCCAGATGGATGCCAGGGACCCAGACACTCAGGCGGTGATCTGCAGCCTCAGGAAGCTGGATTGGAAGTAGAGGTGGGACTTGATCCCAAGCATTCTGATAGGGGGTGCACATTTCCCAAGTGGTGGCCTAATCTGCTACACCACAGTACTTGCCCCATCTCTCTAACTTTTCTCTCCAAAATCCCAACTGTCAAATAGCCTTGGTTCTCGGTATCCTTGATTTTCCTATTGGAAAAATTTACTTTGAAGTATTTGTGACCAGCGTTTTTTATACACTTGGGAAGAGCCCTGTCTTTTCAAGATGCCCCGTGGTTTCCAGTTTCTCTTTATGAACTGAACATTCCTCAATATGAAACATAAGCTAAAAAACCTGTAGAAGATAACAGAGGAGAAAATCCTTGGGACTTAGGGCATGTTGAAGAGTTCTTAGATGTGGCACCAAAGTAACAAACTATAGGGGTTGGTGTGATTGGTAAGCCATCCCTTGCAACCCCAGCTTCCCACATGGGAGTTCTGGTTTGAGTCCTGGCTGCTCTGTTTCCAATTGCATCCTCCTAATGCATCTGGGAAGGCAGTAGAAGATGGCCCACATACTTGGGCTCTGCCACACAAGTGGGAGTCCAGGATGGAGTTCCTGGTTCCTGGCTGGGTCTAGCCCAGTGAACCAGCCAATGAAAGATCTCTCTCTGCTGCTCTGACTTGCAAATAAATATATAAATCTAAAATAAAACCATAACTTATAAAGGAAAAAAGTGATAAACTGGACATTTCAAAATTTAAAAATGATGTTCAGCATCGTTTCTCATTAGGAAAATGCAAATTAAAGCCACTGAGGTATCACTATATACTTAGAATGGTTAAAAATGAATGAAAGGATCTTATGCTGAGTGAAAAAAACAAACCTCAACAGGTCACATGCTGTAGGATTCCATTTATACAACATTCTTAAAATGGAATTGTAGTGATAGATAATAGACTTTATTAGGTGTGATTATAAATGGTTGAAATAAGCTTTTTATAGTGATGAAATAGTTTTGTGTCTTGTTTTGTAGTTTTTTTTTTTCTTGATTGTAGTGGTGGTTACATGAATCAGTCCGTGTGATAAAATCACACAGAGTTAGACAGACTCACTGTACTGATGTCAGTTTTCTGGTTTTGATATTGCACTATAGTAATGTATAGTGTGACCTTTGGAGGAAGCTGGATAAAGGGTACAGGCGATAGATTCAGCTTCCTGTGAATCTGTAATCGTTTTAAAATAAAGAATGTTTTTACAAATAAACATGAACCCATGCAGCAAATCTGGGCTGTCTCTGTAGTAACTGTTGGTTGCTGCTAATAAAGGATTCTGCTTTAGATAGTGCATGCGAGCAAAGGCTTACCGTTCACTCGTGCGCTTGGTTCCTGCGGGAACAGGGGACCCCTCTATTATATCGTTCATTGTATTGTATGACACTATACAGAAATAACAAATCTCTTCTCTTTCTGTCCATTAATAAAGTCATAGACATTGAAAAACAAAGTGGCCTCAGAGTGAAATGTATGTATATCTGTTTGTGACTCCAGATAACCATGACATTTGATGATGTGGCTTTGTATTTTTCGGAGCAAGAGTGGGAGATCCTGCAGAAATGGCAGAAGGAAATGTATCAGCAAGTGATGAAGGCCAATTATGAGACCCTTGACTCCTTAGGTAAGAGTGTGCTGCTGCCTAATACGAACAGGCTTCCTCCCAGCTGCTGGCTGGTTGGATGTGACGCTGTACCTGATTTACATTCATAATGTCTTTTTACCTTCCTATAAACAATATTCAACTTTTCCCTTCTTATCCAGAGTATCTATGCCTTCAGTATTTTTATGAATTCAGTATTCTGAATTCTCTGAGTCCCACACCGATCCTTCTCTGTCTCCCAAAGCTAAAATTGCTAAGCAGTCCGATTGCGTCTCTTTTAAATGTGTTCTTTTATTTCTGAAACTGGTTCTTTTATTGTTCACTCATGTTGCTGGACTCAGGAATTTTTCAGTCTTCAGAAGATCTGTGGTTCTCACGAAGGGACGTGGTTACTAAGTTAAAATGAACTGGGATATAACACAGTGTTCAGTGTGGCTACAACAGGGAAGAAAGGTTGCCCTAGTAAAGCAAGAGAGAAAAGAGCAGTGGGATGGGACATGTAGGTAGCCAAGGAAATACTCAGGAAGTAAAGAGAAATTTGGGGAAATTATACTGTACCACTTACCCCGTTCACTCTAACTCATCCTGGAATCCTTAAAACCATTTCCGCTGGCGTCAGTTTAATAAGTGATCTCTGTCGCTCCCCGTCTTCGTGGGGGAACGACACTAAGCCCTGCCTAGGCTTCATATCCGAGTCACGGCACCATTATGTCGCTCCCCGTCTTCGTGGGGGAACGACACTAAGCCCTGCCTAGGCTTCATATCCGAGTCACGGCACCATTATGTCGCTCCCCTTTGCTTGCTTTCGGTTCTTGGCCTATCTCCTCCTGCATACCTACTCCCTCCATCACTCCTTCTTCCTCCTCCCACTCTTCTTCAATCTCATGTGGAAAAAGAGGGGCTTTTCTTTACAGGAGGAAACTTTGGTAGTACCAATGGGCGATACCGGGGTGGTGATTCATCCTTTATGGTTGAATTTGCCAGCCTTGTAGGGCCAGGATATATTCTTGGCATCTCTCTTGGGGGCGAGGTTCCCTCTTCAGCTTCCTGGCTCTCTAAATCCTTCTTTGATTTTCTTCTCACCTATTCGTTACAATAGCTGCTCGCCTGGCTGCCCTGCCATAATTCTTCCTGCAATTCACTCCCCTCATTAAGCAACAACTCGATCCCTTCCGTGGGGTCCTGAAGCGCCTGATCAACGAGTTGCCACAGCTTCAGCACTTCTATCGATTCCCCAGCCTCGCGTAATTGCCGTCCCACCTGCCTCCACTGCTGTAGAAACCAGGGGGACGTCTCTACGACTGCTCTTACGAATGCATGAATTTTCCTCCCCCCTCGTTTCCCTTGCTTAGAGGAAAAGCTGCGAGGAGGTGGGGAGTAGGAAGAGAGAGAGAGAGAAACCATATTTAGCCCATGGATGATCTTTAGGGAGAAACAGAGGATGGTGCCCAGCAGGAGGAAGAGGTAGCCAGTGGGCAAAGAGTAGCCAAAGAACTCCATTGTCTGTACCGTCTGTGACATGTTGGAGCAGTGGGCGTAATGGAAGACTGAGTCTCCCAGACGTTCCCAGTTAATACCTCCTTCCTAGCTTCTAATTTTCTTCCCCCGCGGCTTTTTTCCTAGGTTCTAACTAGCTTTTTACCGGCACTCTCCGTCCGGCCTTCCCCTAGGCTCTTTGCTAGTCTCTCTCTCCGGTAATTTCCCACTTCTTCCCGGTTTTTCCCTCCTAGGTTTCCTATCCGAGTCACGGCACCATTATGTCGCTCCCCCTCTTCGTGGAGGAACGACACTAAGCCCTGCCTAGGCTTCATATCCGAGTCACGGCACCATTATGTCGCTCCCCCTCTTCGTGGAGGAACGACACTAAACCCTGCGCTGTTCTTTCGTCTGCTCGGCCCTCCCTGGGTTTGCTGCTGGTTCTTCCCGGGTTGGCTACTGTCCCTTCCACCTCCGTGGAAGGGCGGTTCCCCCTGGCCACATTCCCCACTTCCGCAGGGGAGCGGCACTCCGCCGGCCGGCTCTCTCGGGGGCTGCACAGGTGTTCCCCTTAGATGTTCCTGGTGCATGCCGTCTCTCTCCTCCTTTATAGTCCTCCTCTGCCAATCCCAACTCGGCTGCCCACACGCCGAGCACGCTGCTCTCCTCCAATCAGGAGCAAGTCCTACAGTTCATTGGCTGAACTGGAGGCAGCTGTGTAGAAGCTGTTTTCTTCTCTCCCAGCGCCATATTGTGGGAGAGCAGATGCATAGAATAAGTCTTAATTCCAGTAACAGTCTAGTCCGGGTTGCTCCCCACAATCTCAGTCTAGCCTGAAGCATTCATTCCCTTTTTGGGGGGTTAAAACTTTCTCTACTTGAGATATGAATGACAAGGAGTCAACCATGTGAAATCTAGGCAGAGGTTTGATCTAGTGCAAAGGCCAAAGGTAGGAGTGAAGGGGTTCAAAGTGTCGGGAACCACAAGGAGACTGTTGTAGCACATGCATAGAGGGAAAGTGATGCCAAGTTGGGAAGGGTCGAAGTAAGGAGTTGGATTTTATTCTAAATACAAGGGAACGATGATGGGAGGATTTAAACAGAGAGGAGTGATATGATATAATTTTCCAATGATTACTTGGATTGCTATTTGGAGAATGAATTGTACAGGACAGCAATGAAAGGAGACCAGCCAAGAAGATCCTTAGCAGTACTGGTATGATTTTGTGGTGACTAGAACAGGTAAACAGTAACAAAGATAGAGAAATGGGGGGCCAGCACTGTGGTGCACTAGGTTAATCCTCTACCTGCGGCGCCAGCATCCCATATGGGTGCTGGTTCTAGTCCCGATTGCTCCTCTTCCAGTCCAGCTCTCTGCTGTGGCCCAAGAGTGCAGTGGAGGATGGCCCAAGTGCTTCGGCCCCTGCACCCGCATGAGAGACCAGGAAGAAGCACCTGGCTCCTGGCTTCGGATTGGTGTAGCTCTGGACATTGCGACCATTTGGGGAGTGCACCAGGGGATGGAAGACCTCTCTCTTACTTTGGCTTTACCTCGCTCTCTAACTCTATTTTTCAGATAAATAAAATAGATTTTTTTAAGAGTTAAAGAAGAAATAACTTGTAGATTTTTGGTTTGAGTATCTCGCTGGCAGATGACTTTATTCACTGACGAAAGGAAGGCTTGGGGAGAGGCCAGACTTTGGCTAAATTAAGTTTGAAAGGCTTATTAGGCACTTCTGTGGAAATAGAGAGAAGGTAACTGAATGTGCAAAACTGGAATTCCAAGTGAAGGTGAGGACTGGATTTACACATTTAGGAGACGTATAGGAATGGTATTACAAACCATGAGGCTTGTTGGGATCATCTAGGGAGAATAGTCAGCTAGAGCAGAGAATGCCTTGGAACCCCCAAGCTGAAGAGACTGAGCTCGGTGGCCAGCAAGTTAGGAGAGATGAGGGCTCCGTACTGATGACCCAATGTTAACTTTTTTTTTTTTTTTTTTTTTTTTGAGATTTATCTATTTGAGAGGCATTGTTACAGATGGAGAGAGGGAGAGACAGAGGGGTCTTTCATCTGCTGGTTCACTCTCCAAATGGCTGCAATGTCCAGAGCTGGGCCAATCTGAAGCCAGGGATCAAGAGATTCCTCCAGGTCTCCCATGAGGGTGGAGGGGTCCAAGCACTTGAACCATCTTCTACTGCTTTCCCAGGCCATCAGCAGAGAGCTGGATCAGAAGTGGAGCAGCCAGGACCCGAACTGGTGTCCATAGGATGCTTAATCTACTATGCTGCAGTGCCAGCCCCTCCAGTATTAACTTTTAAGTTGCCACAATTAGCATCCTTGAACTTGGAAAAATCAGTCTGATTTTCCCAAATTCTAAAAACCAAATGGTATTATTTGCAAATGATTTTCTCTATAGAACGTCCAAATCCCTACCCCAGAGACTAGGATTTAGCAGGTCCAGGCCAAGGCCCAGGGATCTACATTTTTAACAAGCACTTGAGGTGTGGCTAATGCTATGGTACACAGTTCACTTTGACAAGTATCTATCCCAGGGCTGAGCCTTAGGTAATGCCACCAAAGGCTTTTTGAGGAACCACTACACTGATTTCTAAAGACTGTTTCTTCCCTTTAGACTTAGGCTATTAGACCTCATTACTCTACCCGTCATTGCAGTCTTTTAACAACTCCTGTTTTTTTCAGTTTATCAAGAATTTTGGCACTTCAAAAAAGTGTAGTGATTAAGATTCCCTACTTAATTCTATGAAGAAAAAAGGTATTTTTTTTCTAGTCACATAGTTCTTATGATTACTTTTGAAAATTTTGGGTTTCAGACCTTTTTAAAATCCTCATTATCCTTAATTTCTCTCCTTCCTTTTATTTTGTAAAATATTGAAGAAAATATTTAATCTGACTAGTCTTGGTTAGGTTGTATTCTGTTGTCTTCATGTAATTTCAAAGGCTTTCATCTTTTGACCTCACTTTGGTGTCATGCCTCCTAGAATTGTTATTTTGTCAAGTACTCAGCTAACCCATACTGAGCCTGGGTGGACTCTCTTTGCAGGCTGTATTTGGTCCAAGCCAGTTTTGATCACTTCTATAGAACAAGGGAGAACGCTATTAATCAGAGATCAGGGAAGCTTAGACAAAACAAGAAAGACAACTGGCTCTTGCACTGATGACCTGTTGGACTTGAAGAATACTGGAAAGCTACCATGTCTTGGTGAGTAAAATGGATTTAAGTTCCATTTAATCTTCCTAGTCTTATTTCTGATTGTTTCTGGGTTGTTGGCTATTCCTCATCATTAAAAACCATTGCTTTGATTGAGAATGTTAGTTTTCTTAACTTAGTGGGTAGCAGATGTGAGATTCTGCTACTTTTATATTCTCTCCCCCATATATATGTATTTTAAAAGATTTGTTTATTTTGAAAGTCAGATATATATATATATACACACATATATATATATTTTAAGACAAAAGAAAATCCATAAAACCTGCAAAGATGGGAATTTCTTATAAAAGAACAAAGGATCCATTTGTCAAAACCCTGAAGAAAAAAAATCACCTCCCTGTCACACCATCATGTCCATTTGTATGTAGAAAAATGGAAAACCTTCCAATTTTGTATAATATTTTTTATTGTACAGATTTATAGAACTTGAGTTTTGTTACTCCTTTTGAAGGAATTTCTTTTATTATGAAGAAAACATTTAAAATATCTTAAAACTTTTAGTATTTAAAGGTATGTTAAATACTTAATATTTCACTATAAAAATGAAGTCCTGTTTTTAAAAAAACAGTGTTTAAAATGTTTTATGTTTCCTCTTTAAAAATATTTGCTGGGGGACAGGCACTGTGGCACAATGGTCAGTTCTTGGGATGCCTGCACCCCATATGGGATTGAGTCCCAACTCTGCTTCTAATCCAGCCTCCTCCTAATGTACTTAGGAGGCAGAAGATGATGGCCCAAGTACTTAGGTTGCTGCTACCCATGTGAGATACCAGGATGGAAGTCCTGGCCCAGCCCTGACTGTTGCAGGCATTTAGGGAATGAAACAGTGGATGGAAGAGCTCTATCTCTCCCTCTCTTTGCCTTTCAAATAAATAAATAAACCTAAAGAAAATATTTACAGGGGTGTGTGCTTGGCAAAGTGGTTAAGGGGCTGCTTGGGACACCTGCATCCAATATTGGAGTGCCTGGGTTTGAGTCCCGACTCCAGTCCTGGTTCCAGCCTCCTGCTAATGTAAGGCAGCAGGCTTAAGTAGTTGGGTCCCTGCCATCCATGTGAGAGATCTGGGTTGAATTCTGGCTCCTAGCTTTTGCCTGGCCCAGCCTTGGCTATTGTGGGCATTTGGGGAGTGAACCAACAGATGGGAGAGCTCTGTCTCTTTGCCTTTCACAATAAAAGTGAATTTGGGGGCCAGCGCTTTGACATAGTGGGTAAAGCCGTCTCCTACAGTGCCAGCATCCCATATGGACTCCGGTTCGAGTCCTAGCTGCTCCACTTCCAATCCAGCTCTCTGCTATGGCCTGGGAAAGCAGCAGAAGATGGCCCAAGTCCTTGGGCCCCTGCACCTGTGTGGGAGACCCAGGACAATCTCCTGGCTCCTGGCTTCGGATCAACACAACTCTGGCTGTCATGGCCAATTGGGGAGTGGTGAACCAGCTGATGGAAAGCCTCTCTCTCTCTCTCTGTGTAATTCTGACTTTCAAATAAATAAATAAATCTTAAAAAAAAAAAAAAGTGAATTTGGAGCTGATGTTATAGCATAATGGGTAAAGCCGCCATCTGCAATGCCAGCACCCTATATGGGCACCAGTTTGAGTCCTAGCTGCTGCACTTCCAGTCCAGTTCCCTGCTAATAGCTTGGGAAAGCAGAAGACAGTCTGAGTGTTTGGGCCGCTGCCACCCATATAGGAGACCCTAGCAAAACTCCTGGCTCCTGGCTTCGGATCAGCCCAGCTCCAGCTGTTGTAGCCATAGGAAATGAGCCAGTATTTGGAACATCAATCTCTCTCATCTCAACCTCCTCCTTTCTATGTCACTCTGCCTTAAAAATAAAGAAAGAAGTCCTTAAAAATAAAAAAGGAAAAAAAAATTTTCAAAAATAAGAAACAGCTGAGGTTGGCCACAGCCTGTGACTCTGACATCCCATATGGGCACCGGTTTGTGTCCCAGCTGTTCCACTTCCAATCCAGCTCCCTGCCGATGGCCTGGGAAAGCAGCACAAGGTGGGAGACCCAGATAAAGCTCCTGGCTCCTGGCTTTAGCTTGGCCCAGTGCTGACTGTTGTGACCATCTGGGGAATGAACCAGTGGATGGAAAATCTCTTTCTCTGTCCCTCTCTCTTTGTAACTCTGACTTTAAAAATAAACAAATCTTTTAAAAAATAAAAATATTTAAATTTTTTAAAAAGGAATTGGAAGGCTAGTGTTTGGAGCAGCAGTTAAGATGCCACTTGGGGCCGGCGCCGCGGCTCACTAGGCTAATCCTCCGCCTAGCGGCGCAGGCACACCGGGTTCTAGTCCCGGTCGGGGCGCCGGATTCTGTCCCGGTTGCCCCTCTTCCAGGCCAGCTCTCTGCTGTGGCCAGGGAGTGCAGTGGAGGATGGCCCCGGTGCTTGGGCCCTGCACCCCATGGGAGACCAGGAGAAGCACCTGGCTCCTGCCATCGGATCAGCGCAGTGCGCCAGCCGCAGCGCGCTGGCCGCGGCGGCCATTGGAGGGTGAACCAACGGCAAAGGAAGACCTTTCTCTCTGTCTCTCTCTCTCACTGTCCACTCTGCCTGTCAAAAAAAAAAAAAAAAAAAAAAAAAAAGATGCCACTTGGTACACCTGCATCCCATATTGGAGCCGCAGTTCAGCTCCTGGCTTTGCTTCCAGCTCCAGCTTCCTCCCAGTGTGCACCTTGGGAGACAGCAGGTGATGGCTCAAGTGGCTGGGTTCCTACCACCCAGATTGAGTTCCAGCTCCTAGCTTCAGCCCTAGCTGTTGGGAATGAACCAGCAGGGGAAAAGGTTCTTTCAATTAATTTTTTTTTTTTTAAAAAGGAAAATGAAATTAAGAAGAGAGCGCCATTACCCAGTTCAACTGGAAGAAAACTAGTTCTGAAATAAAATAGCTAGGTGAATGTCTGAAATCCTCCTCCTCAGATCTTGTGGGTAAGAATGTGATAACTGAGGGCCCTCTCTTTCCTGTCATCATGGCTGTGGGGAGCAATCCGGACTGGACTGAGTTACTGGAATTAAGACTTATTCTATGCATCTGCTCTCCCACAATATGGCGCTGGGAGAGAAGTAAACAGCTTCCGCACAGCTGCCTCCAGTTCAGCTAATAAACTGTAGGACTTGCTCCTGATTGGAGGAGAGCAGTGTACTCGGCGTGTGGGCAGCTGAGTTAGGATTGGCGGAGGAGGACTATAAAGGAGGAGAGAGACGGCATGCACCGGGAACATCTAAGGGGAACATCTAGTTGAAGGAACGCCCGTGCAGCCCCCCGAGAAAGCCGGCCGGCGGTGTGCCGCTCCCCTGCGGAAGTGGGGAATGTGGCCAGGGGGAACTGCCCTTCCACGGAGGTGGAAGGGATAGTAGCCAACCCGGGAAGAACCAGCAGTAAACCCGGGGAGGGCCGAGCAGACGAAAGAACAGCGCAGGGTCCTGTGTCGTTCCTCCACGAAGAGGGGGAGCGACATAATGGTGCCGTGACTCGGATATGAAGCCTAGGCAGGGCTTAGTGTCGTTCCTCCACGAAGAGGGGGAGCGACATAATGGTGCCGTGACTCGGATATGAAGCCTAGGCAGGGCTTAGTGTCGTTCCTCCACGAAGAGGGGGAGTGACATAATGGTGCCGTGACTCCGATATGAAGCCTAGGCAGGGTTTAGTGTCGTTCCTCCACGAAGAGGGGGAGCGACATAATGGTGCCGTGACTCGGATAGGAAACCTGACTCGGATAGGAAACCTAGGACGGATAGGAAACTTAGGAGGGAAGAAACGGGAAGAACTGGGAAAATACCAGAGAGAGAGACTAGCAAACAGCCTAGGGAAAAGCCGGACGAAAAGGGTGCCGGAAGAAGCTATTGAAAGCCTAGGCATAGATTCGGATACGGACTACGGGGGGAAGCTGGGCGAAATCTCTAAGGTCGAAAGCGAAAGTGAAAGCTAGAACAAACAGACTCGGATGCGGACTGTGGGGAGAGGCCAGGAGAAATGAGGGAGGAGTATTGTTGGAGGAAAGCTTGGGGAAACATACCGGGTAGAGAAAAATGTTAGGGAAAATGAAGCCGCGAGTGCAGGCCGAGGCGGATACGAAAGCCACTTTGGGATTCTCAAGTTAGCCCGGGAATAGGGGGCGAAAAGTTGAAACCAGAAGCTGAAACGTAAGCCAGATTGGGATCCGTCTGATTAGCCCGGGGAGCAAAGGACGGGAAGCCAAACCGTGGGGCGGAGACGTATGCTGGGTTGAATTCGCCAGGCTAGCCCGGGGAACTTAGATTGAATGCTAGTGGCGGACACGTAAGCTACGCTGTGTTACTCGCGGAAGCCGCCGCGTGCAGAGAGAGCACGGGGCGTGAATAGATAGGGAACGGGGCTGGCGCGAGGCCGTGGTGCAGACGCGAAGGGCGGGGAGACCACGGAGCGCGCGAAGCCAAGCCGCGCAAAGCCGGGAAGCTGCGCAGATGAGAGAGGCGCGGGCTGAAGCGGCTCAGCCGGGAAGCCGCCGAGAAGTAGCCTCGGGGCGGGCAGCGGGAAGCTGCAGGGATAAGAGAAATAGAAGTTTAGAAGCAAAGTGAGAGAAATAGGAATGCTGGAAGATAGAAGTAAAATGGGAGAAATAGGAATGCCCGGAGATAGAGAAATAGAGAAATAGAAAGGCCTCCCTACAACACTGCAATGTGAGAGCTTGGATTCGGTCTGCCTGATTAAGTGAGGCGATGAGCACGATGAGCACCTGCGGCGGCTAGCAGCTTATGCGCCGCAGGTCACCGAAGACAGGCACGAATTAACATCAGTAAGGCCTCCCCACAAAAAGGCAATGAGAAGGCTTGGATTCGGTTTGCCTGATAGGGCTTGTAAGCCCCTGCAGGCAGAGCAGAGTATGCGCTGCGGGGCACCGAACACAGGCACGCATCAGCGCCTAAAAACCTCCTCATAACATGGCGAAGAGAGGACCCGGATTCGGTTTGCCTGATTGATAGGACTTGTAAGAACCTGTGGCAACTCTAGCAAGTAGAGCAGAGTGTGTGCCGCGGGACACCGAAGACAGGCGCGTATCAACGCCAAAAATAAAAAGAAAGGGGGATCTGTGGGGAGCAATCCGGACTGGACTGAGTTACTGGAATTAAGACTTATTCTATGCATCTGCTCTCCCACAATATGGCGCTGGGAGAGAAGTAAACAGCTTCCGCACAGCTGCCTCCAGTTCAGCTAATAAACTGTAGGACTTGCTCCTGATTGGAGGAGAGCAGCGTACTCAGCGTGTGGGCAGCCGAGTTAGGATTGGCGGAGGAGGACTATAAAGGAGGAGAGAGACGGCATGCACCGGGAACATCTAAGGGGAACATCTAGTTGAAGGAACGCCCGTGCAGCCCCCCGAGAAAGCCGGCCGGCGGTGTGCCGCTCCCCTGCGGAAGTGGGGAATGTGGCCAGGGGGAACTGCCCTTCCACGGAGGTGGAAGGGATAGTAGCCAACCCGGGAAGAACCAGCAGTAAACCCGGGGAGGGCCGAGCAGACGAAAGAACAGCGCAGGGTCCTGTGTCGTTCCTCCACGAAGAGGGGGAGCGACAATGGCCTTTACTTGGGAACAGTAGTGATTATGCTTATATGATACCTTTTTTATATAATGCAAAGTCCTTTAGAAAATGAAATATTTTTTGAAGTGTTCTTTATGAATTCAGTAAACTTCTACTTCAGCATTCCTAAGAAAAGTACACTTTATTTTTTTAAGAATTATTTGAGAGCCGGCGCTGCGGCTCACTAGGCTAATCCTCCACCTAGCGGCGCCGGCACACCGGGTTCTAGTCCCGGTCGGGGCGCCGGATTCTGTCCCGGTTGCCCCTCTTCCAGGCCAGCCCTCTGCTGTGGCCAGGGAGTGCAGTGGAGGATGGCCCAAGTGCTTGGGCCCTTCACCCCATGGGAGACCAGGAGAAGCACCTGGCTCCTGCCATCGGATCAGCGTGGTGCGCCGGTTGCAGTGCGCCGGCCACGGTGGCCATTGGAGGGTGAACCAACGGCAAAAGGAAGACCTTTCTCTCTGTCTCTCTCTCTCACTGTCCACTCTGCCTGTCAAAAAAAAAAAAAAAAAGAAAAAAAAAGAATTATTTGAAAGGCAGAAGGACAGAGAGAGAGAGAGAGAGAGAGAGAGAGAGAGAGAGATCTTCCATTTTCTTGTTCTTTTCCCAAATGGCCACAACCTCCAGGGCTGGGCCAGGCTGAAAGTGAGAGCTAAGAACTCCATCCAGGTCTTCCACACGGGTGACAGGGGCCTAAGTACTTGGGCCACCTTCTGTTACTTTTCCAGGCTCATTAGCATGGAGCTGGATTGAAGCAGAACATCTAGATCATGAACTAGCACTCATATAGGACACCATTGTCACAGGCAGCAGGTTATCCCACTCCACCACAACACTAGTCCCAGAACGATCCATCCTTCCTTCCTTCCTTCCTTCCTTCCTTCCTTCCTTCCTTCCTTCCTTCCTTCCTTCCTTCCTTCCTTCCTTCCTTCCTTCCTTCCTTCCTTCCTTCCTTTCTTTCTTTTTTCCTTAAGATTTATTTATTTGAGAAGTAGAGAGAGAGAGAGGTCTTCCATCCTCTGGATCACTCCCTGAATGGCCGCAAGAGCCAGAGCTGGGCTGATCCAAATCCAGGAGCCAAGAGCTTTTTCCAGGTCTCCCATGTGGGTGCAAGAGCCCAAGGACTTGGACCATCTTCTGCTGCTTTCCCAGGCTGTAGCAGGGAGCTGGATGGGAAGTGAAGCAGCCGGGACTTGGACCAGCTGGTGCCCATATGGGATGCTGGCACTGCAGGCAGTGGCTTTACCTGCTATGCCACAGCACCAGCCCCCAGGTCCTTTTTTTATTTGAGAGGCAGAGTTACAGACAGAGACAGAGACCCGTCTTCCATCTGCTGGTTCACTCCCCAAATGGATGCAACAGCCGGAGCTGGGCTGATCCAAAGCCAGGAACTAGGAGCTTCTTCTGGGTCTTCCATGTGGGTCCAGAGGTCCGAGCGCCTGGGCCATCTTCCACCGCTTTCCCAGGCCGTTAGCAAGAAGCTACATCTCTTTGCCACACTCACTGTCCTGCATCGGGCACAGACCCGACACTCCCACAGCAGTGGCTACTGCTGAGTGGGGTACACTCCGGTATCAGAGGTGAGAGAAAGCTGAAAGGAAGGGAGATCAAGAATAAGGGGAGACAGCTTCTGGGATTATGGTTTTTTTTTGGGGGGGTCAGAGTTCATGACCCTTCCCTAGACTTGGCAAGTGCTCTCTGCCATGTGTGCCTGTGCAATAGTAATGTGAGTCCCCAGGTCCTTTTTTTTTTTTTTAAAGCAAATCAATGTTTATTTTTGTTTAAAGATTTATTTATTTGAAAGTCAGAGTTACACAGAGAGAGAAGGAGAAGCAGAGAGAGAGAGAGGTCTTCCAACCACTGGTTCATTCCCCAATTGGTCATAACGGCCAGAGCTGCACCGATCGAAAGCCAAGAGCCAGGAGCTTCTTCCAGGACTGCCATGTGGGTGCAGGAGCCCAAGGACTTGGGCCATCTTCTACTGCTTTCCCAGGCCATAGCAGACAGCTGGGAAAGGAAGTGGAGCAGCCAGGTCTCGAACCAGTGCCCATATGGGATGCCAGCACTGCAGGTGGTGCTGCAGGTGGTGTGGCACCTGCTATGCCACAGTGCCGCCCCCCCCATACATTCTAATAACATTTCTTCCAGAAAAAATTTCCTGAAACGTATTATAGAAGAATAAGGATATGATTCTCAGCTTTTCTGCATGAATATTTATTTCACAGGTTTAAGGAAATAGAGTAATGGGTACAGATTCTCAGTTGCTCATGATCTCCAACTTCTACATACCCTCTAAGTGTCATCTCTAGGTTCATAAGATGTATTTGCTTGTAATTTTATTTCTTTTTTTTTTTTTTTTTTTTTTTTTTTTGACAGGCAGAGTGGACAGTGAGAGAGAGAGACAGAGAGAAAGGTCTTCCTTTGCCGTTGGTTCATCCTCCAATGGCCGCCGCGGCCGGCGTGCTGCAGCTGGCGCACCGCGCTGATCCAAAGCCAGGAGCCAGGTGCTTCTCCTGATCTCCCATGTGGGTGCAGGGCCCAAGGACCTGGGCCATCCTCCACTGCACTCCCGGGCCATAGCAGAGAGCTGGCCTGGAAGAGGGGCAACCGGGACAGAATCCGGCGCCCCGACCGGGACTAGAACCCGGCGTGCCAGTGCCGCAGGCGGAGGATTAGCCTATTGAGCCGCGGTGCCGGCCAATACTAAGCTATTTCTTAATAAGTAGTAAAAGGAACACAAGAGTTATGGGAGGCAGATTTCACAGTCATTGAGATCACTGGGATTCCCTTTTCTGCTTTGTTAGTGGCATAAACTGATCCTAGAACCCCAATGTGGTAGACTGATGCGAGTGATCCTTTTTTCCTCTGTAGATAACCAAGGAACTCTCAGGACAAGAGAGGAGGGATACCATTTAAATGGTCTTCAAAAACAGGACTTGTGTGCTACCTTGCCCGGAAACGAAAGAAGGAATTTATGTGATCAAAGAGCTACCTTACAATCTCCAAGTCTCCAAGAAACAGAGACTGTAAATCAAAAAGTCCACAGCACAGCATCTAATCCAGACAAGGAAGATCCATGTCATAAGCCTCCAGATATTCCAGGTCACTTGGAAAGTCTGCCTGAACCAAGATTTTATTCCTGCTCTACCTGTAGGCAAGTCTTCCAGGTCAAGAATGAGCTGGTAAAGCACCAGAGGAGCCACTCCAGGAAGCAGCCCCGTAAGTATCCAAAGCACAAGAATAAACCCAGAGGGAATTCTGAAGTCGCTTGGCCCGCAGTGTTGCTATGCAGAAAGAAGCGGTTCCAGTGCAGTGCCTGTGAGAAGAGCTACTATTTGAGGTGCAGTCTGATCACTCACCAGGTCGTCCACACAGGGCAGCGGCCCTTCCCGTGCCCAGAATGTGGCAAGACCTTCCGCTACAAAGCTGACTTGACGAAGCACCTGTGTTTGCACAAAGGGGAAAGGCCATTTCGCTGTGAGGAGTGTGGCAAGGGTTTCGTGCAGCAGTGCAAGCTCACCGAGCACCTGCGGCTGCACAGCGGGGAGAAGCCCTTCCCGTGCGCAGAGTGCGGCCGGAGCTTCCGCCTGAAGAGGAGCTTGAAGGCCCACCTCTGCCAGCACAGCGGGAAGAAGCCTTTCCACTGCGCGGAGTGCGGCCGGAGCTTTTCTCGCAAGGCAGCCCTGAAGACCCACCAGAGGACACACAGCGGAGAGAAGCCCTTTTCTTGTGACCAGTGTGGGAGGAAGTTCATCTACAAAACCAAACTCGCCGAGCACATCAGAGTGCACACGGGCGAGAAGCCCTTTCCGTGCCCTGAGTGCAACAAAAGCTTCCGCCAGAAGAGGAGCCTGAAAGCCCACCGCTTCCAGCACGACGGGCGGAGGCCGTTCCAGTGTCCCGAGTGTGGCCGCAGCTTCTTCTGGAGGAACGCCATGAGGGCCCACCAGCGTCTGCACAGCGAGGAGAAGCCGTTCTCCTGCGGGGAGTGTGGCAAGACGTTCACCCGGCCCTCCAAGCTCACGCGCCACGCCACGGTGCACAGCAGGCCAAAGGAGTTCGCCTGTGGCGAGTGCAGCAAGACCTTTTCCCGGCAGTCCAGGCTCACGCAGCACCTCAAGAGCCACGCCACAGAGAAGCCGTTCTCCTGCGCCCAGTGCAGCCGGCGCTTCCGTCAATGCGCGCATCTCACCGAGCACATGCGGCTGCACGGCGGGGAGGAGCCGTTCCAGTGTCCCGAGTGTGACAAGCGCTTCTTCTGGAAAGCCTCCATGAGGTCGCACCAGCGGACGCACAGGGAGGAGAAGCCCTTCGCGTGCAGCGAGTGCAGCAAGACCTACACCCAGCAGTCTCAGCTCACGGAGCACCTGCGCGTCCACAGTGGGGAGAAACCCTTCCAGTGTCCCGACTGTGACAGAAGGTTCCGTCTCAAAGGAAATCTGAAAAGCCACCTGCTCCAGCACAGTGGCGAAAAGCCATTCTCTTGTGTGAAGTGTGACAAAAGTTTCACCCAGCAGTACAGGCTCACGGAGCACGTGCGGGTCCATAGTGGGGAGAAGCCTTTCCACTGCCCGGAGTGTGGCAAGAGCTACTGCACCCGGGGCAGTTTGAAGGCCCACTTACACACGCACAGCGGAGAGAAGCCGTTCCAGTGTCCAGAGTGTGGCAAAGGCTTCCTTCAGAAGAGGAGTTTGGAGAGCCACCTGCACCATCACAGCAGGGAGAGGCCCTTTTCTTGTGCTGAGTGCGGAAGAAGCTTCACCTACATGGGGGCCCTTACCACGCACATGACAGTCCATGCCAGGGAAAAGGCCCCCTGGCAAGCTACATAGCAGTCACACAGTGACCGCCTTTAGGTGGAGCCGGCCAGCTCTGTGTGCTGTGCCTGAAGCAGAATGAAGAATTCACAGACTGCTGCCTACAGACATCCTGGCCACATGCAGTCAGGAGCACCTGGTGGCTCCTTGACAAAAGTTGCAGATAATGCAGGCAAAGATGGTGGAAGAAATACTGCCGGTCATGGAAGAAACATTGTATACCCATCTGCTAGTAGAAAAGATTTTTCAGTGCCATGGAAGCCTGTGATACTCTTGTTACTGAATTGGCAACTGTGGCCTGAACAAAGAAGTGTTACAAGCTGGAACTTTTCCCCACATCCACCTCCGCCAGCTTTTCCATTACCAGGCCTCTTTATTTAAATTTGTGTTGGACTCTCCAGTTTGCTCTCAGAGTAGATTTTCATTACCTCTCAAATGGTGAGATAGCATCTGTTTCTTGGGGGAATTTCTCTGTGTTGCTGAAAATAAATGTTGTTCATCAACCCATTTGTTAAAATGATTACCTATGTGTTATTTCCTTACTGTAGAGTCATTGTAGTCACCCAAAATGTCACCACTGTGAGTCACAATGCTATTTATCTGGTCCCTCTACATTTTTCAACAGTGGTTCTCATTCTCAAATACACTTCCTGTAACTTTGGGGTCTCTGGGGGTAAATACCAAAGGAAAGAATGTTGTCCATGGCCATGGCATCACCCCATTTTTTGCTCTGTAGTCTAATCTGTCATTATGAAAAGGCAGTTTTTCATACTGTTCTAACAAATATTCATCTGTCTCTGGGGCTGTCAATCTTTAATATAACTCCTAAGAAAACACACAGCTTCCCTTAAGAAATCTTTAGGGAATCTTTAGAGGAATAGGGTGCCACCTGTGTTTGGTATGGTCCTATGGATGTGAATTTCTTGGTGAGTTGATGATGCCTTTGCATAAAGAAAAAGGTCCATTGACCTGTGCAAAGGCACATATAGGCCTGATTTCAGTGTTTTTGGGGTTCTTCACCAGTGCACTTCAGAGTGCCTCTGGGAGCTTTTGCCTGGGGTGCATGTTAAAAATGCAGATTCTTGGGAATCTCTACAGATGAACAAGAATTTTCCGAGGTAGCGTTATATAAACTAAGCTTTTAGAACATTGGGTTGGGGGCCAGCAATGTGGCATAGTAGTCTAAGCCTCTGCCTGCTGTGCTGGCATCCCATATGGGTACCATTTCGTGTCCTGGCTGCTCCAGTTCCAATCCAGCTCTCTGCTAAGCCCTAGGAAAGCAGTGGAAGATGGACCAAGTGCTTGGGCCTCTGTACCCACATGGGAGACTTGGATGAAGCTCCTGGCTCCTGGCTTCAAATCAGCCCAGCTCTGGCTGTTGTGGCCATTTGGGAAGTTCCATCCAGCAGATGGAATACCTTTCTAACTCTAACTCTCAAAAACTAAATAAAAAAATCTTAAAAAAGAAAAGAAAAAGAACATTGGGTGGAGGGGCAGAGAAAGGAAAAATTATTTAATGTTTATTTCATCTATGTGAAAGGGCATCAGAGAAACAGAAAGAGATCTCCCATCTGCTGGTTCACCCCCTAAATGCCTGCAGGCGCAGGGACTGGGCCATGCTGAAGCCAGAAGCCTGAAATTCCTGGGTGTCTCCTGTGGGTGGCAGGGACCCAAGTGCTTGGCCATCTGCTGCCTCCCAGGATGTGTTGGCAGAAAGCTGGGTCAGACAAGGAGTAGCCAGAATTCAAACTGGCACTCCAGTGTGGGATGCTGGCGTCCCCAGTGGCAGCCTAACCTGCTGCACCACTATATCTACCCTCGGAAAAACTATTTTTGGAGGCATTCTAGCCATTCTACTGTGCGATTTAGGTTAGGACTCTCCCTTTAGCCTTCTCTCTTGTATTAAAGCTTTTTGTTGCAAAAGTTGCTTACATTTAGGGGGGTGTGTTAGTCTGCTCAGGTTGCCATAACAAAATACCATTAGACTGGGTGGCTTAAACCACAAAAGTTTGTTTTCTTATTCTTGGAGGATGGAAGTCCAATGTCAGGGTGCCAGCAGCATTGGTGTCTAGTGAGGCTACTTCCTGGTTTATAGACTGCTGTGTGACTGTGTCTTCCCATAGCCTTTTCTCTGTGCAGTGGGTGGGATTGGAGTTGGGCTTTATCTTTTTTTAAATTAAGATTTATTTATTTATTTGAAGGATTTATTATAAAGTCAGATTTATAGAGAGGCAGGGAAAGAGAGATCTTCTATCTGCTGGTTCACTTTCCGGATGGCCACAGCGACCAGAGCTGCACCAGTCTGAAGCCAGGAACCAGGAGCTTCTTCTGGGTCTCCCACATGGGTGCAGGGGCCAAAGGACTTGGGCCATCTGCTGCTGCTTTCCCAGGCCATAGTAGAGAGCTGGATCTGAAGTGGAGCAGCTGGGACTCAAACCAGTGTCCATATGGGATGCTGGCACTGCAGGCCCCTTATTTACCCATATTACCTCACTGTACTTTATGTACTTCCTTAAAGCTTTGATGCAGATAGTCACATTGAGGGTTAAGGCTTCAATGGGAGAATTGGGGAGTGTGGGGGGCACATGATTCAGTCCATAACATGAGGTTATGCTTAGATTTATTGAATGCCTAAAACTTATCAAATACAGTGCCATATACTTCACATTCATAATCTCACCTAAGTCCTCACATGAAATCTCCATTACTAATTTGTTCTTTAGTTTCTCTGAAAACTGAGTATTGAGCATGAAATGATTTATACCCCCTTACTTAGATCACCAGATATGGTGTGTTATATATATATTCTAAGATATATGTACACACATCTTAGAAACTCCTCTATTTCTCATTGACTGCCTTTGCCAGCCAAGAGAGTCCTGACTCCTAACGACTCTTGAGTATCTGGAAAGCTCCTGTTAATGTAGATCAGAGAGTTCCCTTCTCTCTCAAAGCCATCCCTCCTCCTTGCTTTCATCTCTTCTCCATTCTCTACCTCCACTTAGTCACTTATTGAGCCTAGAATTCCTGCTTTGGTTTGACAGAGAACTCCTTGATTCTGTTCCTGTGCTAGTCCCCCATTTGTATTTCCAGGAGACTGGGAGTGATTGTACATGTCACTTGTGTACTGCAATCCTCTATCTAGTTCATGCTAGTTGCCGTATTAGCAGCATATGTCTGAAATGGCATTTTTCTGTAGCTATGGCTGATTCTCATATTAGTACCCTCCTTTTTTGTCCTCTAAAAACTAGACTTTGTCTAAAATTGTAAATCTGTTAAATGGAAAATTGTCTAAAAAATGTAAATCCATTATATTCTATTTAAAACTAAAGCTTAGTTCTAGTTCCTTGCCCAAGAACAGACGTAGACCCAGGATCTGTCCTTTTGACCTTACACAAAATCCTGTGCTTTTTCTACAATGTCACATGACTTTGTCAAGTCTCATGTCTTCTCAGCTTTTTGTTTTAGATTTTATTTATTTATTTATTTATTTGGCAGGTAGGGTTACAGACAGTGAGAGAGAGACAGAGAGAAAGGTCTTCCTTCCATTGGTTCACTCCCCAAATGGCCGCAACAGCCGGAGTTGCGCTGATCTGAAGCTGGGAGCCAGGAGCTTTCTCCGGGTCTCCCATGTGGGTGCAGGGGCCCAAGCACTTGGGCCATCCTCCACAGCCTTCCCAGGCCAAGCAGAGAGCTGGACTGGAAGAGGAGCAACTGGGACTAGAACTGGTGACCATATGGGATGCCGGCACTGCAGGCGGAGGATTAACCTAGTGCGCTACGGTGCTGGCCCCCTTCTCAGTTTTAATTCAACCACTTGGGAATAGCTCTCACTAAAGTTAATAATCCTTTAAGTTCTTTCTTTGACCTCTTTTTGCAGCATTTGGTATTGTCAAGTACTTATTATCTCTTGGAATTCCTCCCAGACAACATTTTCTTTTTATTTATTTTCACATTGTTTTTAGTTCTGAATTTACATGGTAAACTGTTGGTATTTCCCATAATTTGATCAGTGGCACATTGAGTTTTTTTTTTTTTTTTTTTTTGAGATGTAACCCATAATAGCACTGTTTCTTGTCCAAATTCTAAATTAAGAATTAAAACAAGGAAACATATAAGATGAAAATATCCTCTTTACTAATGATAAAGAGAATATCGGAAAATACTGCTGTGCATAACTGGACGTTTTTTTTCTTTCTTTCTTTCTTTTTTCTTTCTTTTTTTTTTTTTTGACAGGCAGAGTGGACAGTGAGAGAGAGAGAGAGAGAGAGAGAGAGAGAGAGAGAAAGGTCTTCCTTTTTCCGTTGGTTTACCCCCAAATGGCCGCTGCAGCTGGCGCACCGCGCTGATCCAAAACCAGAGACCAAGTACTTCTCCTGGTCTCCTATGGGGTGCAGGGCCCAAGCACTTGGGCCATCCTCCACTGTACTCCTGGGCCACAGCAGAGAGCTGGCCTGGAAGAGGAGCGACTGGGACAGAATCCGGTGCCCCAACTGGGACTAGAACCCGGGGTGCTGGTGCCGCAGGCAGAGGATTAGCCTATTGAGCCATGGCACCGGCCCATAACTGGACTTGAACAAAGTGGATGCAGAGGCAGAGGAGCAGTGCTATGTTAGTGGAAAGAAATATGCCATCTCCAAAACCAAGAGCATATGCATGACTGTTTCCCTCTCTTGAGCCACATCTTGCACAGCCATTTCTTCTATTAATCCCTTAGGTGCTTAGACTTTCAAATCTATAAATTCTTGCCAATTTTTTCAGTTTCCTTCTGAGTATTATTTTTTTATTTTTGAAAGGCAGAGTTAGTGAGAGAGAGACAGAGAGAGAGGTCTTCCTTTTTCTGTTGGTTCACCCCCCAAGTGGCTGCTATGGCTGGCGCGTTGTGGCCAGTGCGCTGCGCCAAACCGAAGGCAGGAGCCAGGTGCTTCTTCTGGTCTCCCATGGGGTGCAGGGCCCAAGCACTTGGGCCATCCTCCACTGCCTTCCCGGGCCACAGCAGAGAGCTGGACTGGAAGAGGAGCAACCGGGACAGAATCCGGTGCCCCAACGGGGACTAGAACCTGGAATACCGGCGCCGCAGGCAGAGGATTAGCCTAGTGAGCCGCAGCGCCGGCCCTGAGTATTTCTTAATGCTACAGGCACTGTAACCACAAAATGCCCAAGATGAGACTTCATCTATATCAACACTTCTCCTTGCTTTATGCTCTTCTGTGTTTCCTACCTCTAAAATTATACTATCTGCTAATTTCCAAAAACCCTAATGATCCTAGATTTTCCTCCTACATCCAGTCTATCTCCTAATTTCTTTTTTTTTTTATAGCCTAAGAGGCTTTTTTTTTTTTTTTTTTTTTTTTTTTTTTTTTTTTTTTTTGGACAGGCTGAGTAGACAGAGACAGAGAGAAAGGTCTTCCTTTTGCCGTTGGTTCACCCTCCAAAGGCCGCCCTGGTCTCCCATGGGGTACAGGGCCCAAGTACTTGGGACATCCTCCACTGCCCTCCTGGGCCACAGCAGAGAGCTGG